ATGGGAGAGGTCCATCATAATCTTCCTAGCTTTGGACTTGCACCGCTTGGTCAGAAATCAGATACCCGATGCTTAATGTGGTGTGTCTTTTAGTTACATACAGCCCAGCTTTATAACCTCTATACTCGGTGAAATGCTCCGAAGTCAATGGGAGACAGGGTACAGGGAAGAGACCCTGGATTTAAATTCCCCCTAAATTCCACCAAATTTGATCTTGCCTGAGCTGTCAGGTGGACTGGAGGTTAGGATTCATACTGTGTGGGTGATTTCTGTCTTGATTTCTAACTATACCTATTAAAACTTCAGGCCAAAAACATATCTTAAAGAAATACTTGAATCTCACTTTGTTCAATGCATCTGTTGCACCTAGAAGTTTTGTCATTATGATACATATTATGTCATTCGTCACCGTAAGCATGTTAGCATGCTGATGTTAGCCTTTTGTTCATGGTCACAATTGTGTCAGCAGAGGAGGCTGTTGACTTAGTCTTGTTAAAATGATTGATATTCACTGTATTTGCACACCTGTATTATTATATGCTAATGCTCTTTGGTGATGATGGATGCAGATATACCCAGAGGTGCACTGCAAATGTTGCATACCAGATTTAAAACAGTAAAAGTAGTCACCGGTAGGGTTTTTATCGGTTTTCAGCGTTATTTTGTTATCATTTTTATCGTTAACTCGGTTTTCCTTGGTCTTTTCACGTGTGTTATGAATAAATCTTCTTTTTTCCGTACCGGTACTAGTTTTATTTAGTTGTATTTATCCGCGACACCTTAAAGGCATAAACTGATCCGTGGCGCAAAAAAGGTTGGGGACCGCTGGTCTATATAACAAAGTAAAAGTGGGAGCTGACTCCCAATCGCACAAAGCAATTCAAAATCCAAACCATTGTAAGAGTGTTTACACAGCAGACTGATACACAGGAAGAGAGAAGAGAGTCCCTGTGGCAAACCAAGCAGCAAAGATGCAGTCTAGAATTCCAAAAAGAAACTTTCATTAAAGCATGGAAGAGCAAAAGCCAAAACTATGCAATAAAAGACGTAACTCAGAGTTAGGAGTTGGGTAATATGTATATGTATAATTTTTATATATGTATATATATGTGCAGAAAGTTAATAGTTAATGCTGCAAAAATCTGCTGTGAAAATGAACAAAAAGGATAAGCAAAACTGAAGGGGATGTAAACAGAAACCACAGAGACCAATCAATCTATATGCTGAAAAGTAAATTACAGCTTTTTCATGTAAGGACCGTGCACCACATGATCTTTTGTCTGTGATTTTAGTCTTTTCCAGGTAACAGTAACGCAGACAGTGTGGTCCACTACAAGCTGCAGCAGCCGGCAATCGCCCGCTTTATCCGTCTCATTCCTCTGGACTGGAATCCAAACGGTCGGATTGGACTCCGGCTGGAGACCTATGGATGTCCTTACAGTAAGTCGTATATTCTTTACTAGACAAATGAAAATCTTTACAGATTTGTAAGGAGATCAAATCAAATCAGATTCAGATCAAATAATTTATTCATTCATTTTAATACTTTCTTTCTTAATTGTATTAAAGAATTGAAGCTTTCTAAGACGACATAACAAAACTACACAGGTCCAAAGTATTTAACTCAAATAACCAAGTAAGTGAAATGAGTAAGTGTACAAAGCAGAAATATAAAACTAATGTAATTAGAATTGTAAGAATAGGGATCATTTATAAAACACTAGCAGAGCCACTTAGCATTATTAGATTATTGATACATTCTAAGCTATTTATTCACTGTGTGTTAAAGCTATGTTTAATCATATCCAAGGGCTATAAATTTATCACAGTTATTAAAAGAAACTGAAGTAAAAGTAACAAAGATAAATTAGTGGAATGACTGAAAAGTCTTGAGAGAAGGTTTTCAAAAGAAATGAAATGCAAAGTTTTTTCTAGCCTCTAATTAACAAGAAATATTGTGGCGTTTTTAATAATGTATCTTGAATTAAAAGAAATTCTGTGTTTACAGAAAAAAAATTATATTTAGTTTCAAAAGTATGTGTTGTTCTGTATCCTCTGAATACTTCAACTTTTCTTGTTTTCCAAGTTTCACACTTCATTATGTCGCGTCGCGTCGTGTTCTTGGTTTTTATTGTTTTTACCAAGATGTTAGCACATCAATTATCACCCTTCTTGATATTGTAACATTTTGTTGTGTGTGTGTGTTTTTTAAATACACCATGACGCCTGCCAGCTATTGTTTCCCTCGCTCACGTTTTTAATTTTCACCTCTGTAATCAACCTCGACAACCATCCGTTTCACGCGTTCCTCACATAAGCCAGAAAACGTACTGTGATAACAATTTAGTTGGCTCTACTTTTCGTTTTGCAGATTTCACAGATTAACTGAATTAATTAAAGTGATAGCAAGCCCACATCACAAAATTTAGTTTTCAGCCATGCGTGTCAACTTTTGCAGCTTCACATTTCAAAACACAGATTTTTTTCTCTGAATAAACATCAGGTATCTCACAGTTTCTTTAGTGGATCTATCCGCTGTTTGCATTGAAAACAAAAATTACCACATGTCACTTCTGCTTTCACAGCTTAACTACTTTAGTCATGCTGACAGTTAAATGTGTAGAGTATACAAACCTTTTGGGGAAAAGGCTGTTTTATACATCTGTTTTTAAAAAAATACAAGGTGGTGAATTTTCCTGTAAGTTATCTTGTTACAAAGTAGTTGCATTCAGCCTTTTTTACATGTCAGCAAGCAGTGATACACTTGCATTTTTGTGTTACCCTCGTAAGATTGTGTGTAATGCATACATTTAAAACACATCATTTCTTATTGGCTAGTAAAATGTGAGGGCTATATTCCTTAACAGTGAAAGAACAATCACAGTTTGAGCTGGTCAAGTCAGGTGCATGATTATAGTTGAGCTTATGTCTCGATCTGATTGCTCCCTTCCTTTACAGCACAGACTTCTGAACATAAAGTCCTGAGTTCTCTACTGATGTTTTCTTTCATTTTCAGCCTCTGATGTGGTTAGCTTTGATGGTGGCAGCAGCGGTCTGTTGTACTGGTTGACTTCTGGGCTTAAGCGGACATCCAGAGATGTTGTCACTCTGAAGTTTAAAGCCCTGAGGAATTCTGGGACACTGCTGCAGGCAGAGGGACAGGAAGGACTCGGCCTCAGTCTGGAGTTAGAGAGAGGAAAGCTACTACTGCTGCTGAGACAAGGTAAACACACAGATCTATTAACTGATATCAAGAACATTTACACCCGTTAATAATATACTTGGGTATGGCTGAGATTTCAGTATGAATACTATTTTCATCAGCTGAAAAGTTGATAGAAAATAATACTGTAAAGTCTTTAAAATAAGAAGCACGTTGAGATGAGTTGTTAACCAGATCTACAGAAATATAACTGAATTGGAAGTATCAAAACCAAGAACACCTTTATTATATGAAAAGTTTACTGGCTTATATTGTTGTTGGGTCTAAGTCAGACCCCGCTGATCCCAGAACTTATTCCCATGAAAGAAAGACAAGGCAATATTTAACAATTCACCCTGACAATTGTTATGTCTCGCATTTAAATTTCTTTAAATTTAAAATATGTTCCAATCTGACAGCTTATTGTACTTGTTATGTCTAAACAACATTTAATAAGATAGAAAGTATTTTTGTATTTGTAAGTCACTTGTTTGTGTTAGTGCAGAAAATATGTTTAAAGGTTGAGGACAATATAAAAACCTCTAAAATGACTAAGATTGGCTTTCGGTGGATCAGATCGATGGCATGTATGCTGGCACCTGATTGGTTTAAATCTTGGCTCCAAATTCTGCTTTTGCGTCTCTGTCTAGTTACAGCCATGATGGATGGCTCCCGTTCAGTGTAGCATGTGTTAGGGCTGGACTCTGCGAGAGTTGATGCACGGCAGGTGTGTGTGTGTGCGTGTGTGTGTGTAAATGGGGTTAAAGCAGAGTTTGTCTGGCTGCCATGCTGAATCATCACCATATGGCACATCTCTCATCGGGAAGCCCATCTGGTTGCTGAAGTACGTTATCCATCTATCAGTTTTCTGTCTCTTGCTCCATTTCACGAACCTCTGAACACCTTTCCCTTTTCCATTAGCAGCTAAATACACCTTTGTGTCCATGAGCTTATCCTTAAATATGTCAGTGCTTTTTTAACAGACAAAAGGAATAACCTTGCAGACAATTAAATTAAAAACTAGCATAATTTCAAAACTGTGTACTCAAATTTCTTGCATACACAAGTGTAATCCATAGTGATAAGACAGTAATTCTCACTCTCACCTATTGGCAATTTAGAATCATCATAACCTAACCCTACTAAGTGCATGTCTTTGGACTATGAGTTAAAAAAAAAAAACACAAGAGTACTCAGAGAGAAACCACACAAACACAGAGAGACCCCAGCCAGGTGGATTCAAACTTGCTGTGAGGCAAGAGTTTTAACCACTGCACCACCATGCTGCCCTGGTGGGTGTTTGGAGTCCTTTAATTATCTAAGGTGATAAAGTAGACGTGTGATGGACTTTCCTGACTGGGGTGTTAATGACAGGTCCTGGGAGAACACCAAGCTATATAAAGTTATCCAGCCCCTCCATTTTTGCTTTGATGATGGAAGCGTTTCTCCTGTTTCCTGATATTTCTCACAATGATCACCTAGGCCTACAAGTGTTCAGCTCAAGATTGTTCTTCTTACACCAGAAAGGCAGGTGGTTGATCTCATCCCACTAGGCAGATTCATCATTACTTGAGATCAGGCCCAC